CTGATTGGAGGCAACCAATTGATGTCTCTCTCTCACATCAATATTTCTCTGTCTTTCCCTCTCTCTTCCACTCTCTCTCTAAAAAAAAAAAAAAAAAAAAAAAAAAAGAAAGAAAGAAAGAAAGAAAGAAAATACAATAATAAAAAATAATATACAAGAATAAACTGGTTTTATGTACTCACAACTGTAAACTTACTTTCGCCCCACTCTGTAGTTATGAGTAGACATGGCTGGAAGTCAAATTTTGGTGGAGAGGCCTGAGATAGTCACAATAAATGCAGAGGAAAGAGAGAAAAAGATTTTAAAAACTAGAGAGAAGACGAAAGACATAGAAGAGAGCAAAGATGATCCTTTGATGGCTTTGAAATGAAGACGTGAACAAATGGAACAGAAAAACTACTCAGAGACATGATACAAAAAAGTTGTCCTGAAATCAAAGAATAATAGACTTTTCAGGCAGAGACAACATATCACATAATTGGAAAAGCTGATTAGGAATGAGAGCAATCAATATTCTGATTTCTTTAAGAACCTAAAGCAGGAAGAAAAACATCCAGGTCTCCAGGAAGAGGAGAGGGGGTAAAGAGTTAGATCGGCCTTGGACTTTTTCACAATAGTCGATCCGAGAAACTACGGAGCAATATCTGCCAAGTTCGGAGGGAAATGATGTATGACCCAGGAACTTTGTGCCCAGTCAAGTTCTTCATAAAATAAAACAGAAACAGACACCTCAAACATGAAAGAAGTCAGGAGGCAAAGTACCTACCAGCCATCAACTCTTGGAAAACTCCTTAAAGGCAAATGTATTTAAACAAGAGATGGATCAAAATAAGAATCCAGGAGTGAAATTGCTGGGGTAAAAGTATCCATTTAAATCGAAGTTCGTTTAATTACATATAGACTAAGGCTGAACAACAACATGAATTATGGGTTGCAGAAAAGAAGGTGAAAATAAACCTTGATACCGTAAAAATGATAGGATAAAAATATTTAGAGGGAGAGAAAAAGGGAAAAAGTATAACTGTGCTAACAATTGTTTTTTAGTATAGACACAATGGATACTATATAAAACTGAAACATGCATTTAAAAGGAATGCATGATATTCCAACCTCCTAACAGTTTCATGATCTTTTCTTTAAAAAAAAATATTTTTATTGATTTCAGAGAGCAAGGGAGAGAGGGAGGGAGAGAGAGAGAGAGAGAGAGAGAGAGAAATATCAATGATGAGAGAGAATCATCGATCGGCTGCCTCCTGCACACCCCACACTGGGAATTGAGCACCCAGGCATATGCCCCGGCCAGAATCGAACCGGGGACCCTTTTTGTCCACAGGCCGATGCTCTATCCCCGAGCCAAACTAGCTAGGGCGCTACACCATTTTAAAAATATAAGACACTTGAGCATCCACAAATTTTGGTATCCGACGAGAGTCCCAGAACCAATCCCCTGCAGATACTGAGGGCCAACTAGTTGAGTTTTGGGGGAGTCAAAACTTATATGTGGACTTTTGATTGCACAGCAAGGGGTGGTCAGCACCCCTAACCTGAATTGTTTGAGGGTCAACTGCAATCCCATTAAAAAATGGGTGCGTTTTTCCAAAGAAGATATCCAAATGACCAAAAGGTACACGAAAAGGTGCTCAATATCAGTCATTTATCAAAGGAACCTAAATCAAACCACAATGAGCCATCACCTCACATCAGTTAGAATTGCTATCATAAAAAAGATAAGAGATAAGTGATGGCGACGATATGCAGAAAAGGGAACTCTTATGCACTGTGGGGGGGGAGGGGGCGAGGGGGGGATTGTACACTGGTACAGCCACTAGCAAACAGCATGAATTTCCTCAAAAAATCAAAACTATAACTACCACATTCTCCAGCAATTCCACTTCTGGGAACATATCCCAAGGAAATAAAAACATTATGTGAAAGAGATATCTGTACCCCCATGTCCATAGCAGCATTAAGCAGTATTATTTACAATGACCAAGACATGTTAACAATCTAAGTGTTGCATCAACGGATGAATGGATAAAGAAGTTGTGCTATTTTATATATATTTGTATATGTATACACACACACACACACACACACACACACACACACACACACACTGGATGTTTATTCAACCATAAAAGGAGGAAATCCTGTCATTTGAAACAAGTTGGGTGCATAGGTGGACTTTGAGGGTATTATGTTAAATAAAATAAGTCAGACAGTGGAATCTTAAAAAACAAAACTCAAACTCAAGAAAAAAAAAAAGGCCAGATTTGTGGTTACCAGAAGCAGGGCTGGGTGTGGAGGAGGAGAGGGGGAGTTGGGGGAAGGTGGTCAAACGCTACAAAATTCCAGTGAGAAGATGCATATGTATGGGCATGTAATGTACACATGTTGATTACAGCTAACACTGCTGTATGGTACATAGGAAAGCTATTAACAGAGTAAATCCTAACAGTTCTCATCACACCAAAAAGAAAAAAAAAGTTCTCATCACAAGGAAAAAAAAATTTTTTTTATCTATATGAGATGATGAATGCTAACTTACTGTGGTAATCGTTTCACAATGTACCTTAAACTTATACAGTGCCGAATGTCAATTCTATCTCAATAAACCTGGAAAAATGTAGACTCTCTGCAGGGTATAGAGACAATCAGAGGCCAGCACGCTGCTTGATGATTCTTGCTGAATCACCTTACTCAACATCAACAAAGATCTGACGGGATGTCTGTTTCGTGCCGTCTGTGATGCACGGATGGGGTCGTGCACACTGCGGCGTGCTGCTCAGCCTGCTCTGCTCTGTGCCTGCTTGTATGTGCTCCCCTGGACTCCCCAGCGAGTCTGACAGGCATGCGGCCCGCCGGCCGCGAGTTTGAGCTGCTTTCGTGTCTCCCTTTTATACTGCAATCCCCACGCCCAACAGAATGTCTGGGCACCCGTAGGTGCTCAGGAGTGTTACAGGTGATAATGCAGGTGAGACTGAGCGCCTTGGTCTGAAAGCCCAGGAATGTTCTGGCAATCTCACTGGGAGCGGGGCGGGAGGCCAGTGGCGTTACCTGCTTTCGGAGGAGTCCACCGCAGCCTTCTCGGGTCCGTCGGCTCCAGAGCAAACGCGCCGTCCTTGCGGCCCCACAGCCGCAGCGTCCAGCCACCTGTCGCTGGGCCCCGCCAGAGTGTAATTGCACCGCGTGTTTTGCAGGGAAGCCCGAGTTAGACAAGGCCCTGGCGGAGGCGGAGTCAGGAGGGCCAGCAGCGCCTTTTCTTACCTGGTAATGAAGCCTCATTAGAATCAGCGAGAACCTGTGCTGAGAACTGGAAGCACCTGCCAGCCTCGGCTCTCGCTGCCAAAGGCTGATGAATGTAATGATTTATGGCGGCTGCTTCTAGAGATTACAGAGCAGAGGAGGCCGGTGTGCGGCCCGGCCCAGGAGGGATGCAAGTCCACTCTCCCCTTCTTGCAGTGGCTCAAACAGCTTCCAGGCTCTGGGAAACGCGTGGCCATTCAGACACAGACGTGCCTCTGACTGGCTGACCTTTCAGGGCCCTCCAACTGTGTTTAGGTTAGGGATTTCAGCCTTGGCTGGGGGGCAAAAAATTAATCCTAACAAGAAAGAAAAGAAACAGCTTAGTGTTGGGAGCATACAACAGAGCTGGGCTGGCTGCACACTGTCTTGCGGGGAGGCCCTTGTACCCAGTGGTTAATTACAGGCCCCCCTCCCCCGCCCTTCCCCGCAGTGTGCAGCCGGGGAGGGATTGGTGCTTTGCTGAAATGTAGCATTAGGTGGGGTCTTGCCTATTTCTGTGCCTCAAACCACAAACAGAATTATGTGGAGGTCTCATGCAAACTCAGTAGCTGTCCTGCCCAAGTGACTCATTAATATGATCCCTTTGGCTGCCCTGGAAGGCAAACAGAAAACCCGGCTGGAGCCATTTCAACCAGGAGACCCCCTTTCTTACTTTGCTTCTCTTTCAAGCTTCCTGCAGAGGAAACAAGGTTTCTCTTGTTTGTGTTGGCCTTGAGGGTTTGGAAGTGCAGGTACTGGGGGGAGGGCGTCCTCAAATGGGCCCACAGTGGACACGGCCCCCTGTCAGGGTCAGCACTTGATGAGGACAAAGACTCAGCTTGGATACTGTGTCTGGGATTCTGTGTGACAGGTGGACTGACACAAGCATGAGGAAAGAATTAAGAAATTGAGGTTGGGCTCTGTGTGTGTGTGTGTGTGTGTGTGTGTGTGTGTGTGTGTGTGGTTTGGGAGGCACTGAGAGCTGGTGAGAGGACACAGGTGCTGGTTTCAATTTTAATCAGAAGGCAGGGAGTCTTGCCTGGGTAGGTGGCAGATTCAGGAACTATATTTGGCTGGCTCGGCTCCCACTGTGGAAGCAAATTCTGAGACTAGAAGTGAAGCAAGCAACCACAGTCTAATTAACCCCCCACAGACTTACAGTGAAGTTCCCTTTAAACTGATTGAGAGGCCCTCCGTCAACAGCAGTGAAATGTGTGTGTCTGCACATAAACACCCGTGCAGAGCACATTAAAGAGGTCTGAATGCTTCACGATGCCTGTAATTATGGTGCATGCAATACAGCGCCACGCCACTCCCCTCTCTAACAAGAGTGCTGTTTTTGCCCCAAACCGTGGTGAACTTGCATGCCTTGAGCACGGTGCTTGCCTAAGCAGCTGGTCCTTGGGTGGAGAGGCAGATGGCATCATGCTCAGGGAACTTTCCAGAGCCTTCAAGAATGGCTCCACAAGCAAAGGCCAGGCAGGTAAAGTGACGTCCATCTCTACCCGGTAGTGAGTTGAACAGGTGGTCAGACTGCACACAAAGCATTTATTTGCAGAGGGACAGGGAGGTTGCCCAAGCCACAGACTACTTCAGTTTAAGGCCGAAGGACCCTCTCCACTTCTAGGAAGCTTTTCAGCTCAAGGGAATCTAGCAGGGAATCCAGCTCCGGGCGGGTGGGGGATGGGAGGCTGTTTGGGGTAGATGTGGGATCAGGGGGGGAAGACTCCTCAAGGAACTTCATTGACCACTTGGTGAGATGGCAGCATTTTCTTCATGAAAAGAAGTTTCTCCACTAGCTGAAACAAATCAACAAAAACACATTTGAGTGAGAGAAGCTATGGATGATTGAAAATTGGTAAAGAGATCACAATAAGATTATAGGAAAGGTAGGAATCTCATGGAAAGAAGTTGGCCTTTGGAATAAGACAACTTGGGTTTCTTTTTCTTTTTTATAGATTTGAAAGAGGAAGGGGGAGAGAGAGAAACATCGATCTGTTGTTCCACTTATTTATACATTCACTAGAGGCCCGGTGCATGGAATTTATGCACCGGTAGGGTCCCTAGGCCTGGCTGGCAATCAGGGTCCATATGGGCCTTCCAGCTGCTGGCCGGGCTTTCCTTCTGACTGCAAGCTGGGGCCTCCCTTCGTTCCATGCCGCCCCCTGGTGGCCAGCGCACATCATAGCTAGCGATTGAACTCCCAGTCTCCCAGTCAAACTCCTGAGGGGACACTTTGCACATTAGCCTTTTATGTATATAGACTAGAGGCCCAGTGCATGAAATTCGTGCACTCGGGGGTGGGGGGGCGCTCAGCCCGGCCTGAGCTCTCTTATAGTCTGTGAGCCTTCGGGGGATGTCTGACTGATGGCTTAGGCCTGCAGGGAGCGGGCCTAAGCCATCAGTCGGACATCCTCAGCGCGGCTGCGGAGGAGGGAGAGGCTCCTGCCACTGCCGCTGCACTCACTAGCTGTGAGCCTGGCTTCTGGCTGAGCGGTGCTCCCCCTATGGGAACGCACTGACCACCAGGGGGCAGCTTCTGCATTGAGCATCTGCACCCTCGTGGTCAGTGCACGTCATAGCGACCGGTTATTCTGGCATTGGGCCAAAACTGGCTCTCTGACATCCCCCAAGGGGTCCCAAATTGCGAGAGGGAGCAGGCCAGGCCGAAGGATCCCACGGGTGCATAATCAGGGCCAGGGAGGGACATGGGAGGTTGGCCAGCCAGGGAGGGGCCACAGGAGGGCTCCAGGGCGTGTCCAGCCTGTCTCACTCAGTCCTGATCGGCTGGACCCCAGCAACAAGCTAACCTACCAGTTGGAGCGTCTGCCCCCTGGTGGTCAGTACATGTCATAGTGAGCGGTTGAGCAGCCTTAGCATATCATTAGCATATTATGCTTTGATTGGTTGCTTCTTGCATGTGCCTTGACCAGAAATTGAATCAGGAAGATGCTGTAACCAACTGAGCTACCTGGCCAGGGCCAACTTGGGTTTCAAATCCCTGCTCCATAGGTATTAGCTGAGTTACCTTGAGCAAATGACTGAAGCTCTCTGAGGCTTTGTTTCTTATCTGTAAAATGGAAATAATGATGTAGTCCTAGCAGGGTTTCAGGGGAAATGAAGAGAACAGGGAACCTAAAATTGTGCTGGCACACAGCAGGCACTCACTAAATGGTATTCTTACATTCTTGAAGAATATTCAGCTTAATTCACCACTTTTTTATATGTAAAACAAATTTGTGCATTTATTCAGATGTTCATAGGCATATGAAAAAATGAGCTTGGTTAGAAACATCCAGCTTTTATAGTCCACAGAAATGAATCCAATAACAAGACAGTTGGGAAGGAGCTGGATGGCACGTTTTCCACTTGAAAGGAGGAAGTTGCTTCCCTGTGGCGCTCTTGTTTCTGAAGAAAGGGATGTTACAGAGTCCCAGCTCTGGCTCTACCTCCTCGTGTGATCACAGAAAACCGCTTTTCTGTTCTGGGCCTTTGTAGTTTTGCTGGGATCACGGGGGTTGGACTATATAATTGCTAAGTTATCTCTTAGAACTGATATTCTATTCCTTATTCAATGTATGCCATGGATGGGGCCTTGGAGGGAGATATGAAGATATAGAATTATGATCAAATAAAGGCTTGGATTTCCTTAAATAACTGGCAAGGAACTAGTCCCCAAACTCATGCATATGCTACTGTAATCCTCACCCATGTGCATATATAAACACATACATTCATATACATACTTAGACATATACTATATGTCATTCCTACCCTTGCCTCTCTCCAGTGTAGAGGCTGGAAAAAGTTGCTTTCCCAGAACCACTTGCAGGTAGGTATGGTCATGTGAGCACGTCCGGTCAATGAGATAACAGGCAAAGTCCATTAGAGGACTTCTCAAAACATTTTTCCTTCACTGACTGATAAAAAGATTACCCAGGAAAAGGCCTTTCTTGCTGCCCTCTCTTCTTTCCTTCTTCTTCTTGTCATGAGTGAGGACCTGATGTCGGGAGCTGTGGGAGGCATTTGGCCACCATGTGGGACAAAGATGAAGACAAAAAGCCAATATACCGGGGATGGTATGTCAGATGGTATTTCATTGGGACCTAATGAAATCATTGAGAAGCCTAGACCACCTCATTTCTGGAACTCTCAGATAAACGTGGTTTATGTCCTTGCTGTTCCCAGGGTGGTCTGTGGGCCAGCAGTATAGACCTGACCTGCCCAGGTTTTGGGTGCACATTAAACTTCAGGTGCACTGGTGTATAGCCCCATTAATTAGGCTCTATTACATGCAGCTGAAAGCATTCCTAAGAGATACGATGTATGCACAGTAAGTCCTCACGTGACATTGTCAATAGGTTCTGGGAACTATGATGAAATGATGTATAAGGAAGCCAGTTTTACTACAGAAGAATTTATATAAACAAGCGTTAAATTCCTATGGCATGTCATCAATGTTATAATGAAATGATATTGAACTAAATGACCTTATTGGAGAACCTGTTGCACTAGGTATGTTTTAACATTTATGTGTGTATGTGTGTATCTGTTTATATGGTTATAAACAGGTGTAACACATTTATGTATACATGCACATTTATAATATATATTTGTTTATATATTTGTGGAAGGACAGAGTGAGGCTATGGGAGTGTGTGTGTGTGTGTGTGTGTGTGTGTTTTGGGGAGTTTAGGGGTGATTTCTTCTATCTTAATTACTTCTATAGTGTTTGAAAATAAATATTTTAAACGATGAGTTGTGCTCCTTTTATAATGAAGTAAGAAGAGACCTACCGGCTCTCCTCCCTGTCCAGGAGGACGTGGTAGGACGCCACGTCCCTCTGCAGCTGGCACCTGTGCGCCAGCAGCTGCTCGCGGATCTGCTGCTGCTGCTCCGCCTCCGCACGCATCTCCTGGAGCTCCGCCTCCAGCCTGCGGACCACGGCGCCCAGGTTCTGCAGCTCCAGGTCATGCCAGTGCTTGGCGTCCTGCAAAGTGTTCTCCAGGCCTCGTTTCTGCAAAAGAGGGAACACGTCCAAACTCAAGGCCGACAGGCAGGGCCCTTGGAGAGGGAGGTGTGCAGGGCACTGGGAGGGGCTGGCATTGGTCTGGTCGGTTGCTAGGTTTACGTGGCTTGGTGCGTAAATCATAAATCCTCAGGAGGCCAGACTCTTGTTTAGTCTAATTCACTGATCCTTCTGATGGGGGTGGGGGTGGATGTGTGTGTGGGAGACATGGGTGGGTGTGTGGGATGGAGGGGAGGAAGAGAAGACGGAAAAACAGGGAGAGGGAGAGAGATGAGATATAAGAACGAGAGATGAGTGAGAAAATGAGAGAGGAAAAAAATGAAAGAGAATCTGACACACACAGAGAAGCAGTCTGCAGGTGTTTCTTCAAAGAACCCTGCTCTCTGAGTTGCCTCTGGGCCTTTTTTGATCGTTTTCTCACCCCCTGGGGGGCCCTATCCCCTCCACTGCCGAAACCCCACCCATCATTCAGCTAAAATGCTGTCTCCTCTGCACCCTTCCCCAGATGATCAGAATGACAATGGACGTCTCTGGCTGTTGTGTACTCAGCAGTTGTTTCTTTAGTGTTTTAGGTGCCCATTTGGGCTAATTCCTCTTCCTCTGGCTCCCCCTTCCCTGTGGGTTCCCCACCGCCCCATCCTGAACCTGTTACTCTCTGAGCTGTTTCCCGGGCCTGTTAGTTGGTCTCTCCCACACTCACGATTTTCCCAGTCTCTCTGCCAATGGCTCCTGCAGTGATTCTTTTAGCACAGACTTCTCTCCTCTCTCCAAGCCCTGACCCACTACTGAACTTCCTACTGGAAATATGTGCAGTCCAGCGCACCTCAAATCAAGGCGTGCAAAACGGACCTGTTGGTCTTTCCTATCCTGCACTTCAGCAGGTGAACTGAGAACTAGAAACGGGGGAAGGACACACCCCTGGTCTTCTTGCTTCTCTCCCAAACTCAGTCATTACTGAATCCCGCCCCTCATATATTCCGAAAAGTTTTCACTTGTGTGCCCTCTCTTCTCCAGCCACCAGTGCCCAGGATGGATGTGCATCACCTCTCCTCAAGGGGGACCTCCGTGGCCTCTTAGCTCATCTTCCTGCCTCTAGTTCCTCCTTGGGCTGCATTCCCCACACGGAAGCTCCGGTGCTCTGTCTAAAGTCCAACTCTGGGCCGGTATCCCCTCTGCTTTAACCTCACCCCCAAGCTCTCCAGGGTCCCTAACATGGCACCCATGACTGGCCAAGCTTGGTTTGTGAGTAGTGATTGTTGACATTGGACCTGTACCACCTGTGATTTGGAAAACTATTTTACAGAGCTATGGCTGGGTCATCTGTTTACAGGTTTGGCTCCATGTTCACAGGTGACTCCTCCATGAGGCCTAGGGTCCTTTGATGACTCAGGACCCACTGCCCAAGCCCCAGCTCTCCCCCCTAAGTCCTGACATCCTGGCCTGGTTCCCACAGAGATGCCTGAGCTGAGTGACTATGATAAGGCCACTGCTTCGGGTGTCCCAGCCCTGGCCTGTGAGGGGACATGGATAGCACCAGCGAGCATACTGTGGTCACAGCAGCATGCTTACTCCCAAGCTAAAGGAAATTGGAAGGGATGCCCTTGAATTATAGACCCTCCAGAAAGTAAAATAGTGATCTGTGATTTCTGGTCTTGAATTCCTGATCTGACTGAACACAGAGCTCTGTAGGCCTCAAGCACCAGTATTGGTGCCTTGTTGGAAAAGGCAGCTGAACGTCTCATCAGCTCGGCTGTGGGGGCCTTGTGTGTGCACAGGCTGCTCTGACTGAGGGCCAGTAACACAGCAGATAAATAGGACCACCAAGGTAGGTCCTCAAGTGAAAGAGAGGAAGTGGAATTTTAGAGCGTCACTCGGCTCATAAGTAGAGGAAGCAGGATTTGATTGCAGAGCCTGAGCGCCAACCCCCAACCCCATAGGCTGGCTGTGGTCTAGGACAGAGATAGAGCCAGAAGGGCTTGGCTCCTGCACTGATTACTATGTTAATGGGAAAATCCCTGAGCCACAGATTTCTCATTTGCGGATGAGAAGGCAGTCACGGTCCTGCCCACTTCTCAATGTTCCCCCGAGAATGTGACGAAATAATTGCATATGAGCATGTCTACTATCAGTGTCAGTGTCACTTGAGGAAATTGGGACACTGTACCAAGCAATCTGGGACATAAAAGTAATGAAGCCTGGTTCCTGCCCTCAAGGAGTTAATGTGACTTTGGTGGAAGAGCTGATTTCAGCTCACGGACCACTCTGAACGTGAGTGCGTGGTGGGCGGGGGGATCACCCAGCTGTGGGAGTGAGGAGCTAGGCTCCTGGAGGGGGCGGGGGTGTCGCATTTCTGTGTTTTCACCTCACCTGTGCCAAGGGTTTGGCAAGAGGAGCAGGCGGAGGCGGGCAGACTTGAGGGGAGGAGTCTCCTTCCAGCCATGGGAAGAACACATTAAGGGCTCAAGGCAGGAAAGGAAAGGACAAAATCTGGACATTAATAGGAAGATCTGGCAAAGGAGGGCTTTCTGTTGTAAGCCAAGCTCAGGCCATTCCAGGGGTTCAGACCCTGAAAATGCAGAATAGAGGAGGCAGTAGGTAGAGGCATGTCCAGATGGTGCAGCACGAGACAGGGGGAGTCTGTGAAGGAAAGAGGCGGGGGATAAAGCTTCTGAGATCTTTTGAAGTGGGAAATGGAAACCAGAGACCTCATGTTGGGGCACCTTAACTTTATCTGCAGAATAATACAGGTGACAGCACCTGCTGAGGGGCGGAGGGGAGGGCTGCCGGGGGCTTGCTGAGAACAGAAGCTGGAGGGAGCAGCTGCTGGGGAACACAGGTCCCCTCTGCTTTGTTCAGTCATTTGTGCACAGGTTTTCAATCAAGTTGTGAGCTTTTAGAGGACAGGCACTAGCCAATTCAGATTTGTCTCCCCAGGGGCTAAGGGAAGGCCTTGCACATCGCAGGCACCCAGTATACGTGTGTGGAATGTGTGCTGAGTGATGGGCCACCTGCCACTGAGGAGTAATTCATTTGGGCTTTTTTTTATGATGTTGGCTTGAGAATATGTCCTCAACCTTTTGCCTGGAACTTTCTGTCGCCAGAAGAGTGACACTTTTGGCAGCCACAAGGACATCTGGGGAAGGAATGGCAGTCCTTTCACTGTGCCAAAAGCAACAGAGGTGAGAGGCAGCACCCCTAATATTAGGGTGTTTATCAAGGGTTATGGCAGGCAAATAAAACTGATTAGCATAACATTCACCTACCTCTGAGTAAATAATGCCATTGCTTTTAGATGTTTTTTTTTGTTTGAATGTGAAAGTAGCATTGCTTTAAACTGTAGTTTCCTGATTTCTCTCACCTCAGATCCTTTACTCACACCCCCTTGCTTTGACCCAGATCCCATCTGAGAATGAGAGAGACAGAAGAGGAGTAATGATGGCCCCGGCTGGGTAGCTCAGTGGGTTAGAGCCAAGGTTGCAGGTTGGATCCCTGGTCAGGGCACATACAAGAAGCACCAATGACTACATTAATAAGTGGAACAACAGATTTCTCTCTCTCTCTCTCTCTCTCTGCCTTCCTCTCTCTCTCTCTATAAGTCAGTCAATCAATAAAAAAGAAGTGGAGCAATGAGATGCATGTCATGTTGTGGCAGGAAGACTGAGCACCTTCCTGAGCTGGCTGGGCACCGTGTGACCTTGTTGGCCGGAGGACAATGGACCCAAGTGACCTGAAGGAACCGGAGTGATGGGATGCTCTTGGCAACAGGCAGAGATAAAGCTGTTCCTGAGGGAAACTACTAGGATAAATGCCTGAGCTAACTTCATGGCAGGTGTGACTGGTGGCTTGAAGATGGAGCCGATTTGGGTGGCAAAATTGAGATGCAGGTTTATGGGGCGTGGTGGGAGAAAGGGGCATCAACAGTGGTACCTGATCAGCCCGAGGACTTGAGGCTGATGGGGAGAGGGCTTCTTGGGCCTCAGTGGACTAAACCACCTCACCTACGCCAGCATCGCATGAACCAGCCCTTCGTGCGCGCTGGTGTGTACAACTCACTGTGGTTGACCTGGTACACGTGGCCCCTGGAGGGCATCCAGGAGGAGCTGTGCTTGACAACCTAATAGAACTTTAGGGCACGCCGGGGAGCAGAGGTGGACTGCTGGATTATTAATCATTTAAATTAATAATAATAATTAATGATGCAAGAGATCTGCCCACAAGCCACAGTGAGTCTGAGGAGCTTACCAGGTGTCTTAGGATCCGTGCCCCAGAAGCAGAGCCTGCGACAGGGATCCTGCCTGGTGCGTGGGAATAGTTAAGGAGCTGTTCCCAGGAAAGGGGGCGCAAGGGAAGCAGGACAGGGCTGGGCAGAGGAGGTGCTAAGCCAGGAGGTGGTCTCAGCCTGAGTCTGGCTGCAGCCTGACCCCACGGAGCCCCGGACAGTGAATTACCACAGAGGCCTGGTCCCACTTTGAAGCAAGTGAGCTGGGCTTTTAAACCCCCTGTGAGTCGGTCATTGGCTGGGAAGGTGGGCTGGCCTGACACCCCCCACTTCCCACTTCCCACCTTCCACCCCCTACCCCCCCCCCCCCGCAGGTGTCTTCTGATTGGCTGAGGGCCATTCTCTGCAGAAGAGGGGCAGCTGGGAAGGGGCATCTGTGGGCATGAGTGGCCACAGCAGCGGCCGGTGAGGCGTATCCCGGCCGGGCACTCGCCGGATCCACTACCCTTGTGATCCTGTATCGGATCGTCCTCTCAGGCCTCAGACTCCTACGCCGGAGATGAAAGGCCCGGGCACACCGTGACCCGTGTGGCGACAGTTCAACCGCTGAGACTTAAAATTGTCCCAAGAAATGCCAGGTGGCTCCTGCTCCACTCACCAGGGCCCGCAAGGACTCCGTCTCCGCCTGCAGGCTCTGCACTTGGCGCGAGGTGCTGTGCAGCTCCGCCCAGCGGGCAGCAGCCAGCCGCTCCTCCTCCTCCTCCAGGCTCTGCGCCCCGCGGGCCTCCGCCTGCTGCTGCGGACAGGGAGTCTCGGGTGAGCAGTGAGCCCCTGACCCGTCCTCCCCTCTCCCCCTTTCTAACGCCCTCCCGGCTGCTTCAGGCTCCGAGGAACCGGCTACTGGATTTCAAAATTCCTCTTTTTCTATAGGCGCCCACACCAGCTCGTATACAGACATTTATTCAGTTTGAACACGTGACGCAAGCAAATAGAATGCAATTTAAAAGATTTCCCAAAGAATATACGGTAGGAAGTATATAGAGTCCTTTTCTCCCTGTGCGCTAATTACCCAGCTCTCCTGTTGCCAGTGTTTTATACCTCCTTCCAGAACTACTTCAAATATGTACGACCTTCCCCCTTGCTTTGGTCCTTATTATATCTTAGAAATTATTCTAGCATATCAGCATATATCCGTCAGTTACATTCTTTTAAAAAAATCTTTATTGTTGAAAGCATTACATATGTCCCCGTTCTCCCCCCACTGACCCCTTCTAACCCCCTTCTGCCCCCCAGTTAGATTGGATTCTTTTTAACGGCTACATAGTATTGCCTTACTCAGAAGTCCCCCATCCATGGACACTTAGGTGGCTTCCAGTCTTTGCCTGTTACAATCAATGGTGCAAAGAATAACCTATATCCCTCATCTTGATTACATGGGAATATCTCTGGGGGTAAATTCCTCTTGTGGAATTGCTGAGTCAAACCGGCAGGCTTTGCAATTTTGATAAATGTTGCCAAATTGCCCTCCAGGGAGTTAGTAACCCCTCCCAGCACCATAAGGCAGATTAATCGTTAGCCAACTTGGTCTGATACGTTTCCTTGCAAAAAACATGTCTGGTCACACTTGTGACTATCAAGGGGGCGGTCTGGGTTTTGAACCTTCTCCCTGAGCGAGATGGACATATTGTGATTCCTCCCATACGTTCAGGGAGCAGGTCATTGTTACTCTGCTCTTTGCCGGGGAAAAGGGAAAAAAATGAGAGATCACCCACATCTCTAACTTCAAGCCAAGTCTGATGGCATGTCACCAAGCCTGTGATGTAGGAGAAAAATCTATTTTGTCTCCTAGGTTACTGGCTCTTTTGATTGACCATGTTTACTACATATGAATACTTATTTATAGAATTGTGCAAAAATAGTCCAATCTAGTTGACTGGCTAAGAAACCCGAGTCAAAAGGCTCATATCTCAGTAGTAGTTCTTCCAGTTCTTGCTGTTTAATGCCCATTAAAGGCCTGGGATCTGCTAAAGGAGAACTGAAGCCGTGGGCCCAGCTCCGACTGGTTGGCCCTTGGCTGTGTGTCCCTGGGCCATGACTCAGCCTCTCTGAGTCCCAGTCCCTGCCCATAGAATACAGTGACGAGTGGAGAATAATAATCACATGATGACTGTCTCCTGAATCACTTGAGGCTTCTAACAGGTTATGCATGTAGAAGCCTTTAGAACCTTAAAAGCATGCAAATATTGGCTGTATATGTTTCCTTTACATATGTTTTTATTGATTTTTTAAATAGAGAGGAAGGGAGAGAGAGAAACATTTATTAGAGAGAAACATAGATCGGCTGCTTCCTGTACGCCCCCTACTGGAGATCAAGCCCAAAACCAGGCATGTGCCCTGACTGGGAATTGAACTGGTTCATGGGACGATGCTCAATTCACTGAGTTACACTGGCCGGGCTGCATATGTTTTCTATATGTGAAAAGTAGTATTAGCTAATACATGAGTTTGTACAAGCCACTATGACTTGACTACTACTAATGATAACTAACGTGTGTGAAGCTCTTACTCGGTGCCAAAACTCTGTGAACAACTTTTAGTCCGTGATCTCCTTTAATCTTTACGACCCTATGAAGCAAGTGTCATTATTGTTCCCATTTTATATGAGGAAACTGAGGCACAGAGAGATTGAGTTTTTTATTCCAGATCATATGGCCTAAGAGGGGCAGAGCCGGGACTCAAGCGCAGCTGCAGACCCCAGAGCAGTGCCCTTAACCAGAGCTTAATGCTGCCGCTGCCACCAATTCATCAACTTAAGACCCTGAAATTGGGGTTGTCTTCCCCAAAGTGAAGGTGGGTCACTCTAAAATATCCTCATTGTCTTCCTGGGATCCGTAGCTCTGTTCTTCCTTCTCTCTTTGGGGTTGGGCCTGGCCAGATGGGCTGTGTGGGAGGGTGGGAGGCAGGAGAGGGGGTGTCCTGACAGACAAATGGAATCAGATAACACGGCTACACAGAGAGGCCGGGGCAGTGTGAGCTGGAGCCGGTTCCTAACAGTGTACAAGAGCTGCCGGTTAAATTTTCAGGAATTTTGTAAGCCAGTTATTAAACACAGCCATTATTAAAAATTAAATCATATCAACTCACAATTAAATAAGTTATATTAAAAAAATGGCACCTGGCTGGTGTGGCTCAGTGGTTGAGCATCAACCTCGCCAGTTCAATTCCCAGTCAAGGCACATGCCCGGTTGTTGGCTCGATCCCTGGTGGGGGTCGTGCAGGAGGCAGCCAATGGATGACTTCCTCTCTCATCGATGTTTCTATCTCTCGATCCCTCTCTCTTCCTCTCTCTCTCTCTCTCTCTCTCTCTCTCAAAATCAATAAAAATATATTTTTAAAATGGTAATAAATACTCAAAACACATCACTTGCTAATTATTTACATTTTATCATTATCTGTGCTACTGAGGTTTATCTACATTGATGATACCTGTGTGGTGGGAGTCGATGGTGTGTTCCTGCCCAACTCTTCCCAACTCATTCACATCATGTTATTAGTTTGAAATAAGGGTGAGAGTATTGACACCGTGGAAATTGGCAAACTCCACCAATCAGAGATTGAATTACTATTTTATGGGCTGTCTAGATTTTAAAAAGGGATGCATAGAATATTAACAGTGCAGATTAAACTTAAAAGTGGGTCCTGTCGGTAGCTGTTGCATTGGGAATAGCACAAAAATTAGCAAGAATATTTTTCCAATATTTGAAAACTATTATCTGATTCATAAAGAAGTTACATTATTGCCCAGCTGGTGTGGATCAGTGGTTGAGCATCTACCTATGAACCAGGAGGTTGCGGTTTGATTCCCAGTTGGGCACATGCCTGGGTTGCGGGCTTGATCCCCAGTGGGGGGTGTACAGGAGGCAGCTGATCAATGGTTCTCTCTCATCATTGATGTTTCTATCTCTCTCTCCTTCTTCCTTCCTATATTAAAAAAAAAGAAGTTTCATCATTGACAAATGAACTCATTAAGGTTAATGAAAATATCAACCAAAATTCACATCAGAGCTATCCTCATTCATCATTGTTGTGAGTGACTTTTTGTATAATCAGATATTAATAATCAAACATTTTCTGTAGTCTGATTTTATGATACTATTGCTGATGATATAAGTATAAAAACAGTTGGCGGGTTTTGCAAGAAATAGCAAGCCACATTGAAGTTACAGGTGTAAATGGGAAAGCAAAGTATTTTATCTTAAAATGTATGTTATTACTAAAATTAGATAAATAAAACATCAACCAAAAGTCTTTGCCACCTTGAAGTGGTATTGTGAATTTGATTGGCATGTAAATACATATGCTTACATTGCCCCCCCCGCCCCCCCGAGAGCAGTTGTGAAAGGTTGCCAGGACACCATGGGTGAGAGCCGGGCATGAGTGGAGGCCAAGCTCCATGGAGGGCATGTTTCAAAGCCCTGATGGGCGGGTCTGGGCTAGAGCTGCTGGCCAAGGCTATAGCCACAGAACCCATAGGATCTGTCCCTCCTCTCAGCCCAGACAATGAGTGGCTTGTCTTCAGTGGTACGTACTGGTGTCTGGAGGGTTGAATCCCTATGTCTTAGTGCCACTAGCAAGATGCTGTACCCAACTGTTTCCCAAACATTCCTGGACAACCAGCATAGTTTTTCACACATCTGAATGCTAATGAAACTGTTTTTATTTTAACCAATTCACTTTTTTTTCCCAATTTACTTTTTCTTTTAATTTTTATTTATGGATTTGAGAGCGAGAAAGAAGAAGGGATGGGGAAGAGAGAAAAAGAAAGAGAGGGAAACATCGATTTGTTGTTCCACTTATATATGCATTCATTGGTAGATCCTTGTATGTGCCCTGACCGGGGATCAAACCCACAACAACCTTGGAGTATTGGGATGACACTCTAACCAACGGAGCTACCTGGCCAGGGCTTCACGTTTTCTTTGTAAATAAACATTTATAACATGGAAATTGTAAATCTGTTCTCAAATTTTAATGTGCATCGGCACCATCTGGGGGTTCTTGTAAAATCCAAGTCCCGATGCTGGAGATCCTGAGGGGCCCAGGAATCTGCATGTAAAACTGCCATGAGATGCCTGGTCCATGGAAGCAAATGTGTAGATCAGCACAGAAACCGACAGAACTGCTTTACTTGCCATACATAGACGGTAACTGAAACAGTTCATCATCTTAAAACAAATCACCTGGAGGGGTGGGTAGGGGCTGGGAGGAGGGAGAGGGGAGAGGGGGGTGGGAGATATCTGTAATACTATCAGCAATAAAAAATATATTTAAAAGTGAAAAAAAAAACACCCAAACAACGACAACAACAACAACAAAACCCCACCCAAATCACTATTATTTTATTCTAGCAAATACTGCCTGCCAAGCAGCTGAATCCCAGAGCCCGCTTTCTCTTTGTTGAGAGGCGAGATTAACAAGTATATGAGAAGTGATAATGACCCACTGGCACCAAAGGACACTTCCTTATACAGTTTACTTAAGATTGAAAGAGAAAAAGAAATTAACTTGATCACTATGGATGTCAGTGCCATTTTATATCATGCCTCCTACTTTCTGAAACCTGCTTTCCACATCCTCGCCCTTCATCTGGGAACAGTTAAGCGCTTGAACTCACCTAGAAGTATTACATGTCCTTCTCCAGTGGCTTTTTAGATTTATGCTTTCTAGTTATTGCAATAACTCTATTTCTATTTCCATTTCAACCCAGTGCCTCCGGATTTCTCCTCGCAGACCACA